ATGGCCCAAATATCTTGAATTTTTACTTGAGAAGGAGATTGGACCAAAGAAAAAGCCTGTTTTGATAAATATCGGGTTAAATGGACCCTGACTTTTGTGTGAAAAATTACAAAATTTGTATTCTATAGCGTATATATTTACTCCTGAAGGACATAGAGTCGAGAAGTTGATAGTATATCCAAGAGGAGTGGTTGGCTTTTAAATTGATGCCAATTATATTGTCGTATGTACTCGGATGTGGGAGTTACACGTAAATATTTACAGGTGCTTACGTATTCAGATATTATTTAATAAACCATTAACACACTAGTGGGCGGAAATACAGCGCTGATCGCTTTGAAATGTTTCATGAGGTTCCAGTTATGGTCAAGTACAACGCCTATATTTTTCGTTGATGATCAGATAATAATATTGGGATAAAGTGGACCAAAAACTTATTTTTTGTGTTTTTTTTTCGATTCAATCTATAGGTTGCAATTATAAGCCGGACATCACAACACAACCCACGGTGAATGGAATATGGACAAGTAATTAGAAGGACTCTACTGAATATTAGTAATATTCGGAAAATATGTCAATGTAAGGAAGAGGTCCTGTTGACCTCTAATCGGGAAAGAGGGTGCAACTCACGAAATATTGCCCGAATATTGCCTAGAGGACCGAATTCGGAGTAGATATAATCATCTTTTGCTAATGCTTCCATATAATGGTACCTCTTGATTTTCGGTATTTGATTCCAATTAGGTTCTAATTGGGTATCAAATCTTCCTGCTAAAAATGATTAATATTGGTCAAATTTTTTGCGTAGCTCCCATATTACGATACCCACTCGATTTCTTTGTTTTGAGGATTTTGGACAGTTTTTTAACCAATTATAACGAGAATGCACGAGGTGGCACTCTGATACGGCAAACATTTGCCTCATCGAAATATTGATTTCATATCCCATGTTTGTTTGGACCAAATCCGTTTCAGACAATTTGGAGTCGATTTACAAATGTCCGTCCGTCTGAATGGCATGTGCGAACGATAGCTCTCGAAGGGAGTAACCGATTTCATCCAAACTTTGATCATTGTAATATTTCATCAAAACTTAGTTTAAGTTCGAAGAGAGGGAATATCAAACAACTCCCACAAAATGGTTAAATTTTCCTAAAAATTAATTTAAAATATCATGCGAACGGACTTTGTATGTCAAGCCCGAAGATTTTCAATATTTATAAATTTAATATCAGGCTTACTGGTTAAAGAATGTTTTATGTCTTTTTATATTTTTGTCAGGGATCATTGAATAATTTTATTAATCTTTTTTAGGATTATCACATCTAGAATGTCTTCTGGGAATTATATGAAACTGTGCCATTTTAAAAACACGTTCAATGCAAAGGTACAACCTCAATTTTTATGATGACATATGTTTTCGGATATGAGAGAATCACATAAAATACGAAGCGTTAACGGTGAGGGCAGCGTCTCTCCATACTGCTTACAACACACATTATCTCATAATTGAAAACTGTATGCTTAATCTATGTATAACATTATCTTCAATTTTTTTTATTTTCAACTTACTGTAATTTTCACTTTAGTACCCAAACCGCTGAATTCTTGACGATACATTTCAGTTAAAGCGGTAACAGCATGTTTCGATGGTGCATAGATGTTAGATGCAGGCAACCGACCGAAAGAACCAGGCACTTTATGACCCAAAATACTATTGATTAGAATAACATGGCCATCGACATTACGTTCCTTCATCGATTTGAAGGCACGCTGAGTACAATAGATAATGCCCATAACATTGGTTTGCAAAGTATTTTGTATCGACACTGGATCCATTGTCACCAATTGACCTTCCACGGTACAGCCAGCATTATTAATCAAAATATCTATGCCACCAAATTTGGCAATAATTTCATCGAATGCCTTATTGACCGATTCCAATTTGGAGACATCACATTCGATGGCGGTTAAAAGCGATTGCTGTTCTTTTGGTAAACTGGCAATGATTTCTTCAACACGATTCTTACGTCTAGCCAATGCCACCACTTTAACACCGGCAGCAACTAAATCCTTGGCTGCAGCAGCACCAATACCCGAACTAGCACCGGTCACAACAGCTACTTTATTTTGCCAACGTTCCATATTGAATAATTTTTGCGAACTAACAACCATCGGCTGGTTGTTTTACATTGATATAGGTGTCTATTTTTTCAATATTCGTTAAGCAATAGATAAGGAAAATATCGATTAATTAGTGTGAGGAGTGATAAGAAAAAGTAAAAAAGCTTAGAATAAAAATATTTGGTGGTATCAATGAACTTTAGTCTAAATTTCCACAATTTGTTAAAGTGTACGACCAAAGCAATGTTTGATTTGATACGTTAAATATCAGAGTATACATCTAATTTTAATGGTGACGAATGTATTTTTTTACATGCCCACCTGAACCATTTGGATAATGACGTTCATTTTGGTCGTGTGTCCAGTGTTGGCAAAATTCAGTGATATAGTACGATATTAGTACAGAAAAAAATTATAAAAATATATGTATTTCTTTAACATTTTTTAAGGATTATTAAAACCATAAGAGTTGATTTTTTAAATTTGATTTTTTTTTAAAGAATATTTTTTCTACGATTATCACAGCCATATAGGCGTGGATTTTTATACCCTTCACCACACTGTGGTACAGGGTATTATGTCTTTGTGCATATGTTTGTAACAGGCAAAAGGAATCGAGATAGACCAATGGTTCCTTTTGAGAATATGCATAGAATCACTTTCATAGTCGATTTATGCATGTCCGTCCGTCCGTCCGTTGATGTTAAATTGTAAACATAGTACAGTTCGCTTTTATAAGCCGATTTGGATGAAATTTGGCACAAGTCACTTATTTGGCCCAAGGACGAACCCTATTGAAATTGGAGAAAATCGGTTCAGATTTAGATATAGTTCCCATATATATTTTCGTCGGATTTTAGGTAAATTGTGCACCAAAGTCCCTATATATCTTTCAATTCGCACCAAATATGGCATAGCATACTGAATTAAGTCTAGAACGATGTGTGCTAAATTTCGTGGAAATCGGTTCAGATTTAGATATGGTGCACCAAACTCCCTGAAAATCATTCTATTTGCACGAATTTTGGCATAGCATACTGAATTAAGTGTAGAATGACGTGTGATAAGTTTCGTGAAAATTGGTTCAGATTTAGATGTAGCTCCCATATATAGTTTCGCCCAATTTTAGTTAATGATGCACCAAAGCCCCTATATATATTTCGATTTGCACGAAATTTGGCATAGCGTAATGAATTAAGTCTAGAATGACGTGTGCTAAGTTTCGTGAAAATAGGTTCAGCTTTTTATATAGCTCCCATATATATATTCGTCCGATTTTAGGTAAATGGTGCACCAAACTCCCTGAAAATCATTCAATTTGCACGAATTTTTTCACAGTGTACTGAATTAAGTCTAGAACGATGTGTGCTAAATTTCGATTCAGATATTAGATATAGCTCTCATATATAGTTTCGCCCGATTTTAGGTAAATGGTGCACCAAAGTCCCTGCAAATCTTTTAATTTGCACCCATTTTGGCATAGCGTTACTAAATTAAGTCAAGAACAATATATGAGAAGTTTCGTGAACATCGGTTAAAATTCAGATATAGCTCCCATATATATTTTCGTCCGATTTTATGTAGATGATGCACCAACGTCGCCATATATCTTTCAATTTACTGAATTAAATATAGAATGATATAGATTCAGATTCCTATATATATTTTCGTTCGATTTAAGTAAATGGTGCACTAAAGATCCATTGCTAGGCCGATTGACACTACGTACTGAAGTTAATATAGATTAATAGCTGGCAAGTTTCTTTGAAATCGGTTCAGATATAGATATAGCAAAGCTTCCATATATAATTTTGACTTATTCATATTAATTGTACGCCAAATAATGGGTGTCTGATTGAGATTAAATTTTAAAAAGTCCATAAGTTGCAGAATGACATGTGCAGGGATTGATGTTAGTCGGTGTAGATATAGATAAAGATCACACATTCAGTTTGTTCGTTCAATTTCATGTCAATGTTCCTTCGAAAAGGCGACGTCTTCTAGGATACGCGGTGAAGGGTTTCATATAGTCGGCCCAGTCCGACTTTACTACTTTCCTTACTGGTTTAAAGAATTTTTTTTTCAACGATTATCACAGCCATACAGGCGTGGATTTTTTACAGAATGTTTTTTTTTTGTTTTTCAACGATTATCACAGCCATACAGGCGTTGATTTCTTACAGAATATTTTTTTCAACGATTATCATAGCCATATTATGACAGCCATACAGGCGTGGATTTTTTACAGAATGTTTTTTTCAACGATTATCACAGCCATACAGGCGTTGATTTCTTACAGAATATTTTTTTCAACGATTATCATAGCCATATTATGACAGCCATACATGCGTGGATTTTTTACAGAATATTTTTTTTTCCAATTTATGTTTGCCACCAATTCGTCATAACATTTTTTCTCACTATAAACTGACCATGACACTTAGTCGGAACTCCAAATATATTGAAGGACACTCACAAATGTTTTGCGTCAATGCCAACAAATATGAAAAAAAAAACACATTCACCCACACAACTTGAAATACACATAACAGTAATATTAATTGCAGATATTCCCAGCATTCATCCAGAAAGTCCATTATTAAAATAATTATGAACAGAAGAAGACGAATGTGTGTGATCGACTAAATAACTAAACCAATTTCTTTCGAGGCAAATGCCTATTTGATGAGTACCAAACATTTTGTTGTAATATTAATGGTATCTCCTTTGCGATGTGGTGTCTGCAAATAATTGCTTTTTAATATCGATATTATGTTCGATACATCGACACATTTAATAGAAAAAATGAAAAACGTTATAATTTATGAATATAAAATCTTATATTTTTTTATTTACATAATTTAAGTAAGATTGCTTTAAAACAATTCACCCACAGGCTTAATTGTCATTTCATGAATTTGGACATGTGGTGGTGTGGATAGAGTGTACAAAATTGCATTGGATATATCGTGAGCATCGAGGAAACATTCTCCCAATATTTTTCTCGTTTTATCGGTAATAATTTCTGTATTAACAGCACCGGGACTAATGCTCTGTAAAAGAAAAGAAAAAAGAAACGAATATTTTATTAATAATTTAATTTTTAATGATTTTTACTATAAGCGTGGATTTGTATAGAATATTTTATTTCAAGAGTGTATATTTTTAATTTTTAATGATATTGTTTTTCTAGGATTATCTTAGCTAGATTTAGACTTTTTGAAAATATTTTTCAATGATTTTTGTAATTGAATTTTTCAACTTTTACTTTTAAATTAAATTTGTTAATTATTATTGTACCAAAAGGGCGTATTTTTTTCAGGATTATCGAAGCTAAGTGAGTAGATTGTTTGAAGTTTTTAAGTTTTATTTCAAGAGTGTATATTTTTAATTTTTAATGATATTGTTTTTCTAGTGATTGAGATCATTGTACCGACTGTATTCGAACGGGGCCTTGTTGATGCCTGTTCCTAAAATCCCCCTCTAAAAAACAATCAAAATAATATTTAAATGTGAAAATAAAATATTTCAATTGATAGCGCAAATGTATCAATGCTAAGGGAGCATCTCACAAAAATCTCTACCGGAGTTAACTTCTTAATCAGGTTCCACGAGTATGACTTACTTACTTAGCTGGCTTAAGACAGAACATTTGTTCCATAAGCCGAGCTTAAAAAGGATTTCCAGGCGTGTCGGTCCTGTGCGCGCAACTCATCTTATTTTTACATACCATGCTCCGAGATGTTGTCTTCCACTAAATATTTCCATCCAATTCGTGGCCTTCCCCCTCTACGTGATCCATCAGTTGGCTTGATTTCATATGCCTTTTGGGCTGGGTCATCCTCATCCATTCTCATAACATGACCTAGCCAACGTAGTCGCTGCAACTCGATACGTCTGATAATGCCAATGTCCGAGAATAAGTAGAACACTCATGATTCAACGACGATATTAACGCAGATCGGCCCATAGATCTTTCGGATAATTTTTCTCTCAAATACTATAAGAGGTGCCTCATCTGCTTGTAGTGTGTGAGTTTGGTCTGGCGAGAGGTGACCTTGTTTCAGAAATGCTTACTTAGACCACAGTAGCATCTGTTTGTCAACACTATTCACTCGTTTTATTTATGGCGGTACCAAGGTATTTAAAATCTTTGACTACTCCGAAGCTGTAGTTCTCAAGTTCCTCAGTTGGCCCGAATCTACAAGCTGATTGGAAGACCATCAGCTTGGTCTTCTTGCCATTTACTGCCAGACCCTTTTTGGCAGACTCCTTCTAAATTTGTTCAAAGGTGCCTGTTACCGATCGCTATGTTCGACCCAAAATGCCGATATCATCGGCGTAGGGGAGTAAATGTTCTGCTTAGCTTTGCCTCTCGTATGACCTTTTCCAGCAGGATATTAAAAAGATCACACGAAAAAGTGGCACCTTGTATGAATTCTCGTTCGGTATTGAAGGGTTCCGAGAGGTCCTTTCCGACGTTAACAGCTGGCCTTGCATAGACGTATTTTTGCAGGAATGCCGAAAGCAGTCATGCCTTTTAACACTTCTGAACTGATAAGTCTATCGAATGCGGCATTATAGTCGACGAATGAGTGAAATGTGTCGATTTGGCGCAGAGTGAAAATCTTCACAATGGTGGATTTGCCAGGTCTGAAGCCGCATTGGTATGGTCCAACAATGTCATTGACCATTGGCTTCAGTCGTTCACACAGCACGCTGGATAGCACTTTACAGGCGAAGGGAAACATACATATTCCTCTATAGTTGGCACATATCGTCTTGCCTCCTTTTTTTGTGCACGGGACATAGGGGGCTGGGGATCCAATCATTGGGCATGCATTCCTCTAGCCAAATTGTACTAATCAGCTGGTACATGCTCCTGACCAGCATCTGACCACCGGTCTTGAAGAGATCGATTGGTAACCCATCGGTACATCCTGCTTTATTCTTCTTTAGCCGATTAATTGCTACTCTGACCTCATCTTGGCTAGGCGGTATACAATCTATACCGTCATCTCTTATTGGCTGTGGGGGCAACTATTTGTTACCAGAAGCTTTGCAAAAAACTCCTTCCAGATCCTCAACACGCTGTCTGTATCTGCCACCAGGTTTCCTTCTTCATTTCTACAGGAGGATGTGCCTGCACCAATGCCTTCGGTTTAGTGTTTTACTCGTTTGTAAAATGTCAGGACTTCATTCTGACTCCTGTACATATCGATTTGCTCTTGCTCACGTTTTTTTTTTAAATACGTTTTTACTCTCTCTCCTTTTCTACGGATAATTTTCTCTCGCATTACGTGATGCTATTGTCTGCAGGATTGCCTACAAGCTACGTTTTTCACATCTAGAGCATTAAGACACTCCTGATCGTCGAGTAGGACAGTAGTAGTATTATCAGGGTACCGACAAGGGATTCTTCAGATTAAGAGAAACCTCAAATTTATTCCGAATTTCTCAAAAATTTATCGGAATACTCGATCGAAGGAATTCCGACGTCGCGTGTGAAGTTGGCTCAAGTTAACCTTCAGGGTGGCCCAAGAACTACTGGGGAAGGTCATTGGTTGTCAGTCGACGGCTATATAAAGGACCCATTCCTTGACCGAGTTCATCGTCGGAATCTTCGGTTGATCCGGTGAAAATAAGGAGTCTGCTGACATTGAATATACGTGACAATGACATTGAATATACAACCAAAATCTTAAGAGAGATTTATATACCGCATTTTGCCTCTGATATATACCCAATGTGGTGTAGGGTATTATTTAGTCCGACATTGCGATTTTCCTTAATTTCTTTTTTAATTTTAATAATTTTTAAACCCTTGTAGTTATTATAGCGCATTTTTGTGCGAGTGATTATAGCACACATGACACCATAATTGAAATATTTATGCTTAATCTATGTATAAAATTATCATAGATTTTTTCTTTTTCAACTTACTGTGATTTTCACTTTAGTACCCAAACCGCTGAATTCTTGACGATACATTTCAGTTAAAGCGGTAACTGCATGTTTCGATGGTGCATAGATATTAGATGTAGGCACTTGACCAAAAGAACCAGGCACTTTATGACCCAAAATACTATTGATTAGTACCACATGACCATCGACATTACGTTCCTTCATCGATTTGAAGGCACGCTGAGTACAATAGATAATGCCCATAACATTGGTTTGCAAAATATTTTGCAATTGCACTGGGTCCATTGCAACCAATTGTCCATCCAAGGTACAACCAGCATTATTAATTAAAATATCTATGCCACCAAATTTGGCAATAATTTCATCGAATGCCTTATTGACGGATTCCAATTTCGAGACATCACATTCGATGGCTGTTAACAATGATTGCTGTTCCGTTGGCAAACTGGCAATGATTTCTTCAACGCGATTCTTACGTCTGGCCAATGCAACCACTTTAACACCGGCAGCAACTAAATCCCTGGCTGCAGCAGCACCAATACCCGAACTAGCACCGGTCACCACAGCTACTTTATTTTGCCAACGTTCCATATTGAATAATTTTTGCAAACTAATAACTCTCGGCTGTTTGCTTTACATTGATATAGGTGTCTATTTTTTTATTTCACTTTTCAATATTTGTTAGCAAATAGATAAGAAAAATATCGATTAGTTAAAGTGAAGAGTGATAAGAAGTGTTGAAAAAATTTAAATAACTGGTATCAATGAACTTTTGTATAAATTTCCACAATTGTTTGTTAAGTTTTACAACAACAGCAACGTTTGATTTGATTCGGTAGGGTAGAGATCTAATGGTAGTGGTGACGTATATATTATATACATGCCCACTTGTAACGCTTTGATAATGACGAGCAATTTTGTCGTGTGTTAAAAAATTGCTTTGCGTGTGACCAGTGTTGGTAAATTTTGTTTGTATAAAACAATGTACAAATATACATATATTTAAGTGTATCTAATTATTGCTAGGTCGTTAGATAGAGGTTAGATATATTGCACCGATTTTGGTGTAGCCCCAATTTAACGGTATGACGTTGTGGACGTAACAAAATTGGGGAAGAAGGTTTTTTTTAGTGGAGTGATACATGATTCCCTGGGATAATATCCCAAGCAAAAAACTGAGAGAACTGATGAGGATTTGTGGCGATCCGAATCCGAATTCTCTGCCTTTCCCGAAAGTAATCAATGTGACCATAACCCACTTTAAAAATAAAAATCTTGTTATTTTTATTTTTTAAAACAACAAGAAAGGGATTGAGCTGTCTTATCTAAAAAATGTATCATCAAATATTTGGTATTTTGGATTTTTGCATGGTTTTCAACCAAATTGGCTGTAATTTGGTACTTCATGTTTCCATTGGGTAGCAAATTTCCCTAACAATATAGGTGCAGTTTTTATGATAGTTCCCTTATTATCCGGTATTTTGGGTAGTTTGGGCAACATTTTTTACAGAATTTGCGGTAATTTGGTACTATGACATCTTATTGGGTAGAAATTCTCCCTACTAAAAATTATAACGATAACCCCATTATTGCGGTTTCTGGGGTGTTTAGAAACATTATTTAACTGACCTGTTATTTGGTTGAGTTCTCATTGGGTACTCAAAATTATCGATATCGGTCTACTTTGAGTATAGCCCCTATACAGAGATATCCATTCTTGTTCGGTATTTTCGGCTGTTTGAATAAGTTTTCCCTCCAAATACTTTAGTACATTGAATTATTTAATTTGACTTTTTAAGATAGTCCCCATATAATATCCAACATAGTGGAATTTAATTTATAGTTTATGTTTTCCATATTGTAGATGTATATCCCTTAGCATACATATAAAAATTCTTATTATCATGAGATAGCCACTATTTTTTCCTAAAAATGTGAAAATTTCATTAATATCACAACTATTTTCGTACTTCGCTCAATTATACCACTATTTGTGTTTATTTTTCCTTTTCTCTCTTTAAAAAAAATATGTATTCATTGTTAGACTGTATTCGTATGTATTCATTTATAGACTGTGTTTAGTTTTGGTATCTTTCTCCGCTTCTTTCCTCATTCAGACACTGTTACCGATCTCCGCATTGGTTTTATAAAATTCGCATATGTAATTTCTAAATGATGCTAAATACAATATATCAAACATGTGTTGATGCGACAAACACGAATGTATTACATTGTAAATATGAAAACGAGAAAAGACTTATGCCCCATAGAAAACCCGCCATCACTACTACACTAAATAATACTCGAATGTGTTTTTTTTGACTTTCTCTGACAATAAACCGGTGTTTAAAGTTTTATGAATTGTATTCATAAAATATGCGAATTATCTTTTTCTGAATAATGCTATCCAATTCTGAGTCTGTAGAACATAACGACGTTTCCACTTTTAAAAGTAAATAATACCATACCATAGTACCATATGTACATTTTCTGTACTTTTTATTTTAAATGTCAACACACCTCACCTTGTAGTATATCATTTTAGCAAGTCATTTTCTAAATTAAAAAGCAGATTAGATTTCTTTGAAGATTAAATGTTGTCATTTCAGCAAAATGAGTGAGATTGCACTTCTTTATGAGGCACTAAAGTGCATACGAGTTGTTATTCTAAAAATAGTCATTATCTTCAGAACTAGTTACGCACAAAACTACACACTGTGTTAGATTCTCAATGAATAGTAGGTCTGCTAACATGTAAAAAGTCTGCGAACTACTGCAGTATTTATAAGACTGCAGAATTAATTATAATTTTCAGTAATAACTTTAAAGGGTGAAACATTGACCAACATAACCCTCTATTTTATACCCTCCGCAATAGAGTGGAGTGTATCTTAAAATGGGAGTCCAATCGAAAGAAAACGATGCATAAGGATGAAATTCAAGGTTCAATTCAATTCATTTTGCCATTAATTTTGACATTGCCATTTTTGTTATCTACAGTTGGATTGATTTTTTTCGAAATACGAAACATTTTCTAAAAAAAAAGAAAAAAATTTCACATTACGTGCCGTCCCATATATGACGTATTTACAGTGTCAGTTAGGTATCTTAACTTTTAATGACGTTGAAAAAGTTGTGTTTTAGCAATTTATTTCGCATTTTAAATAAATAAAATGCAGATTAGATTTCAAAAGAGATCTATACCCCAGTAATTATTCAACAGGTATAAAAATTTTGTGGCTGGTTTTTGTGTCTGATACTTAATTATTAAAACTAGTATCAACAAGTGAAAAATCGGTAAGTTCGGCCGGGCCAACTTTGGATACCCTCCACCATAGATATATTGACAGGTACTAGAATGAATATATTGGGAACATACCAAAAAGTGGACCTATACCGACATTTCTAAAAACGGATTGTGTATACCATAATACAAATTTTAGAAAATTTTAAATGATAATAATAATTTTTAAAGGATAATTATACCCTCAGCCTTATGGCTAATGAGGGTGTATACACTTTAACACGGTGAAAATGTGCCTCATCGAAATATTGGTTCAAGACCCCATGTTTCTTTGGACCAAATCCGTTTCAGAAAATTTAGATTTCATCCGAACTTTGCCTATCTTATTATTTCTTCCAAGCTTAGTTCAATTTCTGGAACTTTCAATCAGGGGCTAGGTCTAAATGCGGCTACAGTTCATTATCGAACCTTACGTTCTAATTTTTTATCTCTCTATCCTCCGCAGGTGAAATGATTGCAAAAGAGTCTTAGAACCAAACTCAAAACGCGGAACAAATCAGATAACTATTTTAATATAAAAAGGGGGTTATATGGGGTCGAATATTAATAATTTTTGGTAGGGAGATTTGTTACCATATACGACTACAAAATACCAAATTGCAGCAAATACGGTTGAAAAATGCGCTCAAGAACCCCAAAACACCGAACATTGGGGTTACGCTTATATTGGGGCTATCCGAAAAAATGGACCTATATTTATAATTTTTTGTATAGAGATTTGGAACCTATTAAGAACCCAATGTACCAAATTTCAGCGTATTCGGTTGAAAAACGCGCTCAAGAACCCCAAAATACCGAAAATTGGGGGATATCCGAAAAAATTCACCTATATTTATAATTTTTTGTGGAGAGATTTGATACCTATTAAGAACTCAAAATACTAAATTACAGCCAATTCGGTGGAAAAATACGATCAAAACCTCCAAAATATTGAAAATTAGGATGTACCGTAATATGGGGGCTACCGAAAAAATTGGACCTATATATATAATTTTTTGTGGGGACATTTAGTACCCAATAAGAAACCAATGTACCAAATTTCAGCGTATTCGGTTGAAAAACTCGGTCAAGAACCCCAAAATACCGAAAATGCAAAATTTCAGCACCCTATCTCAATTCCTTCAGAAGATAGCGTGATTACAACAGACGGACGGACATGTCTAGATCGTCTTAGAATTTTACCCTGATCAAGAATATATATACTTTATAGGGTCGGAAATGAATATTTCGATGAGTTACAAACGGAATGACAAAATTAATATACCCTCCATACCATGGTGGAGGGTATAAAAAACCCCGTGCATCTAAACAAGCTTATTAGACGCACGTGTTTTTGATTGTGGATTGAAGCTAGTGGTGCACAATGAGAGCTTCATATCGAAAACGCCATTGTCGCCCCCAGTATCCTCTACATACGAATCGTTGGGCTCAAAGATTAAAAAAATATTTCTAACTTTTAAAATTACTATAACAATTTATATTACTTGGAGACTATTTTTAGCCCATTATCGTCCTCTGTCCCCATATGAGGATAAACAGGTGTCCTCAGGGAGACAACTATAAGTATCTTTCTCATTGCAAATACACATGAGAAATGAATTTTAAGTTTTTTATTGAAACCTTTTATTTAGTCGGTAATCTATATATATAAAAATGAATTGCTGTTCGTTAGTCTCACTAAAACTCGACAACGGCTGAACGGATTTTTCTTATCTTAGTCTTAAAATATTCGTAGAGCTTCAGGGAAGGTTTAAAAGGTGAGAAAAATTTAAAAATCGCGAAAAATTTGCAAAAAGGAAAAAATATTATGAAAAAAAAATATTATGAAAAACAATATTTCATTTGTCAAATATTGAAAATTTTCAAAATATTTTATTTTATTCAATTGACATTGTAACGAAACTTTTTTTCTGAGAATGCAAAACAATAATTGAGATGAATTCGCGATCATTGTATGTACACGTTTTCCATAAAATTCACGTGCATTTTGGAACAAATGCAAGGATGAAAATCTGAAGATTCAGAAAGAGTTCTGATTCTAAGACACGTGCCCTAGATTATTCTTCTTGAAAATAATAATAGGAACATGTTGTTATTGAAGTACCTAAAATGTACCATTATATGGTGGTTATATGCCTAATCGTTGGTCAATGTCTTTAATCGCATATGTGTATCACAGAGAAAATTAAGTTCATATTGAAAGAGAACAACTATAAAAAGCATTTGTTATAACAAAGAGTCTCATGATGTTACCTCAATATGTCAACTACCAATATATTTAATACCATGAAAAATCGTTGTTAAGATCGAACTTTTGTACTTCCTAATATGTAGATTCCTTAAATCGG